TCCTGCACAACCGCGTCGGGCGGCATCCGAGTTTGCCTAAAATCCGGGAAAGTCCAGTCGAGTTTCGCGGGCAGGGGACCGAGGATTCGTCGAGTTTAAAGTTCGTTTACACAAGTCGAATCGGAGGGACAGCCGTATCGCGCCGCACTCGGCAGCGTTCCGCGCCCGGATGCTCTTCCTGGGTGCCGGTCCCTCCGTCGTCTCGCGCCTCCGGGCAGCGAGCCGCGCCAATTTCCTAATTGAGCGCCGGCCCGACTTCGTGCCGCGCAGGGGGTACTCGCCTTCGGCAGCCGAGGAGGGGTTTCCTTTACTCCTTTCTCCTCGTCGCTGCCAGGTGAGTAACGTTCGCCCTCGCGCGGGCTTTTCTGCTTTTCGGAGTCGTTGCTAACGACTCCTTTCTCCTCGTCGCTGCCAGTGCGACTTTTTTGGTTACCCACCATCCCTATCCCTTTTACATATCTGTATTTCTACCCGACCTACAGTTACTTTCTTCCTAGATCAGTACTAGTCCCGCATGTAGCGTTTCGGCTCAGAAATGCCAACGTTGGATGCCGCCCCCCAGCCGCGCACGTGCTCCTGCACAACCGCGTCGGGGCGGCATCCGAGTTTGCCTAAAATCCGGGAAAGTCCAGTCGAGTTTCGCGGGCAGGGGACCGAGGATTCGAACGGAGACTCGTGATCGGCCGAGTGACCGACATCAGCGCTACTTTCCCCAACGCGGGTTGCGGAGAGCCTCCATCTCCACGCGGTGAAGCGTCCTCTCTTCATATCGCTGGGTTCTTTGTCGTCGAAGGGTGTTCCCGCTATCTATGAACAGGTCATAAGAGGTGCGAACTCGTTGATTTTCCCGAGCTCTGTCATCTGCTGCCCCCCATGAAGTCCTGACGAGATGGCCCTGCACAGCGACCAGCGCAGACAGGTCTCTCTCCCCGGCACCCGACTCTCGCTTGACACATCCACCTTTACGTCGGACCCTGCATCGACCTCGTCAACGGGAGGACTCACGGCAACGGTGACAAGTACCGACACGGTTGTAGTACCCCCTCCTGCGCAAACAACGACAACGATGACCTCCGTCGTAGGCACCCAACCGTCCGTCACTGACACCAGCTCGGCGACGCAGACTAGTGTGGGCTCGGATCCGAACTTTACTTTCGGGACCATGCCCTACACGATGGATACCTGCGGGTCAACCACCGTTGGGTGGGACTACATCGGCGCGGACTGCAATATCACTCTCCTGGTCTCCTCCACGGTCTTGCCCAACCCTGGCGACGTTAGTAGCTCGATCGTAGGATTGGTTATCGGGCAGGATGTGGATGCGGCTTCAGATTCTTTCTCGTGGTCGTCGGTCAATCTTACGGCGGGGCGATATGTCTTACGAGCGACGGGCCCGAACATCGCAGCTGAGTCTACCGTATTCACGATCGTAAACGGCACAGACACATCCTGCCTATCCGGATCTCCCTCCCCCTCCTCGACGGCGTCTGCAACATCGACACCATCAGGGACGTCCGTGATCCTCACGAGCAGCAGCTCTGGGGTACTGCCTACCTCATCGTCCGTCTCCCTCCCTGTGACAAACGCCGTGTCCAGCCGCGCCCGGGCAGGTGCAATCGCGGGCGGGATCGTGGGCGGTGTCGCCATCGTCGTTGCTGCCGTCGCCGCCTACTTCTTCTTCGGGCTATGTCGGCGGACGCCCACGCGTTCCCGCTCCGGGCGTCGTGGGCACCTGGGAAAATGGGGTGGTCTCTCTTCCCGCGACTCCGGGATGGACGAAGGTCTCCCCGTCTCGACGGCACCCACCTCAGGAAAATCACCCTTGGGTTTGGGCATTCCAAAGCGCCGTGAGACGACGGAGTCCACGGGCGCCATTCTTACGTCGTCCCACGGACACAACGCCAGCCGGGGCGTCTCGGATGAGGACGTTTCCACGCTCGCGCACGAAGAGAAGGTTGCGTCCAGCAGAGGCATGGAGTACTTCCCAAACGTTCCGCCGCTGACTGGGAGCCGTCGCCGCTCGTCGTTGTCAACCGCATCACCGCCGATCTCCCCAGTTTCCGAGCCTCCCAGCGCGCGCGGATCCTACGGTCGCACTCGTGCGAAGTCCTCGAGCCAGTCGCACCGCGCAAATGCCCTGGCCAAGCTCGATGGCGACTCCTCTTCCCCAGCGTCGTCCGTGCCGACGACTCCTCGCACACGTTCACCCACGGTCCCTCGGCGCTCTGTCGATAGCATGCAACTGCGCACATTCGATGCGCCGTCGGGCCCCATGCAGGTCGCAAGCCCCGTGGCCGCCGTGTCAAATGCGGCTGCGATGAACCGCACCTCTTCGGGCAACAACCCGCGTCGGGCGACACGGAAGCCGGTGCCGACTTTGGACGAAGCCGACATGATGCCGCCGCCCTCGGCCACTTCCCTCACTACGCCCACTCTGTCCTCATCCTACGCTTCCAGCACCACCATGAGCCGCGGCTCGAGCGTGTCTAGCTCTACCGTGGCTGGCCGCTCGCCTGCTCCCTCCCCTCACCCGGTGTACAACCACAGGGCAGACTCTGGATCAGGCTCAACCCTGCGCGCACAGGGCGCTTTGCCGGCTCCCGGTAGACAGCACTCGCGCGAGGACCTGATCGCGGCGGGCATGGAGCTGCCGAACTTGAACCACAAGTCCAGCTTCGGGGACAAGCAGGTCCACTACATCATTCCGGACATGCCCCCTCCGCCCCGCGCGTAGGCGCGGAAAAGTGTACTACTAATTGACTCGGTGAGTTCTAGCGTTCTGTAGCTCGTTGAGTGTATGCTGACGAACTTTGACGCAGTGTACCTCTATGATCCCCCTTGTCTACCGTCGCTCTCTGCTCGTTTGCACCGTCTCTCGTTGTCGTCGGAAGTTGGAGGAGGTTGGATCTATCTTGCTTTATATATCATCTATGGGACTTGGTTACTTATCACCTACTGCGCTTCTGCTCTTGCCTACACTTACGTTCGCGCCTTCTACTCTTGAATGCCCTCCTCCCCTGATCGCCATCCCCGCGCGCCTGCGCGCATCCCCATCCACTGCTCCATACTACTTTCTAGCTACCTTTCACGACGCTTCACGCTCCACGGATTACGACCTTGATGATCGTGCTCCAGGGTATACGGGTTCCCTGCTCTTCCGTGCGCGTGTTGGTCTATAGCTTTTGGTGATGCTACATAAATGCCACTTGTTGTGTTCTTCGCTCTTTCAGTACCCTTCATGCAGGTCGTTCGTTTTGCCTACGAAGGTTCTGCGTACATACACGCTATACCAGGAGCGCGTGGTATCATAGTGTAGCGCATACAGTCAAGTGCCGCGATTGCTACTCTGTCCGTCATACTGTCGTTAGTCGACAAGAACACCATGTTCCAAGACAAACCGAGAGGTTAGTGAATCCGCGCGATACGTATTATACACATTAGTTGGTATCAAGAGATAGTACAACAGTGTCACTGAGGAATAGTAAGCCCCAAGCTCTCGAATATCTGGCGCAGCGCGTCCTTCGTCCTTTGGCTGAGCTTCCCCGCAGGGCCCTCCGCGCCCTCCTGTATGCCCTTCCCCAGCTTCTCCGCGGCGCGCCGGACGTGCTCGTCCGAGCGCGCCCACTCGCCCTCCACGCGCTGGCGCTCCCACCACTCCGTCGAGGCCGCACGCAGCGCGGGCTGGCGCTCCATCGCGGCATGGACGAAGCGCGTGTTGACGAGCTGCTGCTGTGCTTTTTGCAGCTGTGCGCGCGCGATGGTCATGAGTGGCGCGGGGTTCGGTTTTGGGGGTGATTTGGGGAGGGCGTGGAGGAGGATTGGGAACACGAGGAAGAGCAGGTGGCGGACCATCCAGAGGTTGTCGTGCCACTTATGATCCGACAATGTAAGCATATGTTCAAAACACATACGGCGAGTGAGGGACGTACCATGAAAACGTTACGGCCGTCGCGCGGGATACCTATTGGCGTAGTGGCCACCCAGTAGCCTTCCACGATGAAGCCCGCAACAAGCAGCGCGACCGCGTATGTTCTCCACCGCTCGCGTCCGCTCCCTTGTATGGTTATCAGGCCAGCCAATGCCGCCTCTTTGATATATCCCAACCCTAGCCGTGGCGCAGCGAAGATGAGGTACTCGTCAAACGTCGTGCAGTATTCACAGTCCTGAATGACCGTCTGGCCGAATCTACGTGAACACGGAATATGAGTATGCGCCTGACGCGCAAACAGGGTAGGAGCGACCTAACGTAGAGCGTACGCATGTCGAACGAAGACAGACGCGTGAGGAGCGTCTCTAGTGGTTTCGGCAGCGGCGCGTCGGAGGGTAGTCCTGCACTTTGCAGCAGCACGGTGCGTATCGTGTCGGATGGTGTGGTCAAGGGTATCTTTAGCCTCTGAAAGATGTTTGGTGGCCAGTGTAGAAAGATGGTATAAAGTATCGACAGAGTGTGGAAGACGACGAATAGAGTGAGCGCGTTGTGGAGGGTGAGCAAGTCAGGTTGGCGGCGCATGATGAACGCGGTCGAGACGAGAACGATGACCGCGGCTACAAGAAACGCGTCCACTGACGCGCTCACCACAGGCATCTAGTCTACAGTGCCGAGGGTGAGAGGATGCTTGACGCCGTCTTCGATGTGGTGGGGACCGTGGAGAGCAGCGTCCTCGGGTCCTGTGCCTTACGCTTGGTGCGGGCGTCTAACGCCGTCGGCGACACGCGAGCCGTAACGCTTATGTAAGCAATATCACCGGCTCTGGTGCCTGCCCGGAGCACAGAGTCTCTCTTTCTTGTTTACCATCGTCTTCGCATTCTGCAGTCCCAACAACAAGGATCACTTCGAGCTCTCTCATATTTGTATGCTTTTGGCGCCGATCTTCTGAAGATCTACGTTTCCTGCGAGTCACCTTGTGCACCCTTGACTTCATCTCCCATAGCGCCAATTAAGGGATGCTCCGTGTCCATGGTGTTTCAAGCTGCCAGTGCAAGCAATCTGGTCGAACCTTGGCGGCATATTTCGGCGCTGTCGTCAAGCCTCCTGTTAATGGCGTGCAGCCGGGTCAAATAGGCTTGATAAGAGGGCAAGGTACGCGTATCATCTTGCCCGCGCGGGTACGTTTTCAGGCCGTGCCTTGCATCCGGTATCCTTTCCATCTTGAAGACGTGCACTAGATAGCATGGGTTCCATGTTTTCTCAATGCTTTTTTTGGTGTGGATTTCAATGCCGTTGGTTGTCGGTGCGGGTGAAGGGGTTCCCTGGAGCGCGGGCATTTTGATAGTCCACGAACTCGTACCGTATGAATGCCGACATGTTCCCCAACTTGCGAAGATGCGACGTAGCCGACTTGGCTCACAGCCACGGCGCATAACTGAAGATTAGACATAAGCATGCCGGCAACGACCCTCTCTGCTTCACCGCCATCAGGCCAGCGTGGTCGACACGTCAGGTGCGTACATCTCTCTCTTTGCGCAGATGGCATCGCTGACAGTTATCTCAGCGACGCGCTATGGACCATTCATTCATGTACGTCCTCAACTGGGACGTCCTCCTTCACATCACCACTTTCCTTGAACGTCGTGATCTATCCCGTCTCTCCAAGACTTGTCATGCTTTACACGCCATTACCCTCAGACAGCTCCTTTATGGCCCCATCGACCTCCGCCCAGATACCCTACTGTCATTCCATGGCTTCTTGACTGGTGACTTGACATCCCCCCGAGCGCCGTTCGTCAGAGACCTCATCATTAATTGCTCATTATCTCGTCCACGCCGACGGTGCAAAGACTCCGGGGATAACGAAGACCTCATTCCGGCCGCGGAAATCCTTACTGCAATCCTCCGGAGCACCTACCGCCTGAGAAGGCTGGAGCTCGACTGGGCCGCCGCAGGTCTATCCAGCTATCTGCACGACACCGTGTCCGCGCTAGCCCATCTAGAGGAGCTGCGCATTCCGTTCGTCTCTCAGAGGCTGTGGGATGACCTCCAGGGCCTCCGCGCGCCTCTGCGCAAGCTGTCGATGCAACTTGGACCTATGCAAGGTTCATCCGTGGCGGACCCCCTGCCTCTCATGGAACGCTTCTCGTCGACGCTCAAGGAGGTCAGCCTCGCCAGTGTACAATTCAAGGAAGGGTCGGTCCAATATCCCGGCGTGCACAAGCTCTCGCTCTCCGACTGTTACTTCGATTTCCTGCTTGGAGGCATTGACGCTACGCCTGTATCGGCCGCCTTCCCCAACGTCACGGAGCTGTCGTTCTCCGCTGCGCGAGTGCACCCGGAGGTCTCTCAATGGTTTGAAGGCCGGAACTGCGACAAGCCGGAGCTCATCGAACGCTGTCGCCGGACGAACAAGGACGAACTGAAGCAGGACGGCGGCTGGCAGCACCTGCAGTGGGTCCGCGTGGGCCACGTCGTCGATCTCTACATGCTCGGCCTGGGTCGACACGTCCCTCACGTCGAGATCGAGATGCTCTCGGAGTCGACATTCCATTTGATGCAGGACGTGCTGCGAGATACCACCCCGTCGTCTCTCTCGCTCTCACTTTTCGCTGTGGACCGGATCCTCGACTGCATACCCCGCCTGTTCTGCGCGGGAGATGCGACAGATGGTCTCTCGCATTTCGCCTTGACGCTGCGATGCGTGAAGCCGACTGTTGATATGGACAAGCTCATTGTACGTGTACCTCAACTACTATCGTGCGAGGAATTGCTCATAAGTACTTTGCAGACTCATCTCTCCGAGCTGCTTGCGCCTCTCCGGGTTGAACGTCTCACGGTCCACTTGCAGAGGTGGGACACCGTCGGCATCTACTACCTGCCCGAGGAGGACTTGCGTCCTATCGACGCTTGTCTGGACCGCATATACGCACAAGCGGACGACTTTGCTGGTCGGATGATGCAGGGCATCCCGTCCTTACGCGACGTGTACGTACGTGTAGGTAATCGCGAGACGAAAGGGCAAGCTCCTCTCCCGGTTGAGAGCAACATGCATTAGAGCTTGAGGACGCGGAACGCTCGAAGGATTGGTACCATCCCTTAAACTGTACGTCACAATTTCTGTTCTTCAGTGAAAAGGCTGTCTTAACATCCTTAGGTGAAGAATATATCCACGGTTAATGCCCATAGACCATAGACGGGCTATGTGTCCACTGTCTACTCGTTGCCTCCTATGTTAAGACTTACTATTTTAATTCAGCCTGACAACCTGATAGACACTCCCACGCAATCATTTCGAATTATAGAGGAACGCACATAAAACAGAATGCAGGCTATCGCATATGACGGAGTAAGAACGTGTCCCGCATATGAGCGCTAAATGTAAAACTCACGTATAGGGGGGCGCAATCTGTAGCCCCTTTCCCGCAAGTACTCTGGTCCGGGCTCTATTGAGGCTCGGCGTACTCGTAGGATAGTGGGGCAGGTAGAAAGGCTGCCCGCACTAGGCGCGCGGGTTCCGAATACCCGCACGCCGCACGCGTCTATCTAATACATCATTATCTTATCTCTGCCCAGCGCGTACGGCGCTGGGCTCGTGGATGTACGATGCCCGTAACGACCCGATCCTGGGTCGTTACACTCTCCCCCTCTAGACACGACATACGGGTCGTGTTGTATAATACAATGGTGTGATGAATGCCTGCAACTCGTAGCAGTGCTAGCACCGAAATATACAAGGTCGCGCGCGGTGCGTACGCGACCCATTGGTTATATACAAGGGTGATGGAGGAGCCAATTGGGGCTCCTCGACGATACCGAACCACAAAACATTTATATACAATGTTTAGGCTGCAAATTGGAGCAGCGCTACCGTCTG